GAAGAGAGACTAGAGGTAATATACACACCTTTCTCCCTATTTCTTGCAGTGTGGTACCTGCACCATCTGATACTGTCTGCAAGAAGGGCACCTGCATATTTAGCACCTTGTATCTCCAGAATTCTTCTGGTTAGTTTTGGCTGTAAACTTGACACAACCTGGAGTCACACAGAAAGAGTCTTAGTGAGGATTTGTCTAGGTGGAGTTGGCTTGTGGCACACCCATGGAGGGACGGTCCTAATTATTGAAGTAGGGAGGCCAACCTTGAATGTGGGCAGGATCCTTTCACAGGCTGGGTCCTGAACTATACAGGACAGGAGAAAGCTGGATGAGTGTGAGCAAAGTACGTTTTCTCTTTGCTTTTGGCTATGGATGTGATGTGACTAGCTGCTTGAACTCTTGCTCTGACTTCCCTGAAATGAGAGGCCATGACCCAGATTTGAAAGCTTAATAAGCCCTTTCCTTCCCTGAGTTGTTTGTAGTTGAAGTATCTGTCATAGCAACAGAAATGAAATCAGAAAAAGAACTATGCATCCAAAGAGACCTCTTTTCTCTATAACTTCCTCAGCCTGTGGCATTGTGTTATGAGCTATGGAAGACAAGCTGATATACTCAGTCATATGCTCTTGAGAACCCACAGTGTGCCAGGCAGTAGGATGTGTTTTTCCTCTGAGCTATGTTTCATGGACTTAGAGGAAAGGAAACACAGATGATTTGGGTTTGAACAGTGACAGCTCTCCAACTTCTGAATCGTGAGACTCTCCTCCCTCATACCACCCGCACCTTTGCCCACGCTCTAGTGGGAATGATTAAAACTTGTGAAATACTACATATTAAAACAGACAAGATGCACACACTCAAGAAAATATCACGACCATCTGAGAACAGGGCGCTAAAGGCTGTTGGAAATCTGTGGCAGTCTAGAATTATGCGCATATTCTCTGGCTACTTAAATCTGGATAAAGAGCTGGAATCTTAGGGCTTAAAAACTATTCCAAAGCCCAAAATGCCAGTCCCTTTGGCTTCTTCTTTCTTTAGGAATACAGATCTCATCAAAGCTCAATAATTACAGACATTAACACAGAACATGAGACTAGAAGTAAATTTAAGGAGACATGCATGGGTTCTAAACCTTTGTCTCCAATACCTATCTGAACTACATTGCGTTTGATGTTGCTGTCTTCTCTAAGTGTGTGTTTGGGATCTATGCATCTGTATAATATGCTGGAAGTGAATTTCCAGGAGTTGGACTTGCCCAGTTCTATGCAAATCTATGCTCAGGGAGTGATGTGCCAAACCTTATGGCTCTAGTCCACTTTCTCCATAGCCATGAGCTTCAGGAGACCTGGGGCCATCTTTCCCTCCTTCAGCAATGTGTGCCCAGGACCTAGCACAGTGCTGAACATTCTTTAAGCACAGAACTTGTTGGTTTATTGAATGAAGAACAGAATGAACAACAACAACAAAAATACTTGACAAACACATTTCCCTAGAATGAACAACAAAATTCCAGAATGATTCCACCTAAAGTATGTTTAAAAAAAAGCAGAAAGTCTCTGATTTTTAGACTTTCATTCTTTCAGTCAATTGATTTCATTTAATGTTCAAGTGAGCCCTAGGAATTAATACTAGATATAGTATAGAAGCTAGATGAAATAGAGAAGCAGGGTATGCAGTGAAGTCCTCACTGAGAGCTGAGGCTTCAGCCAAGAGCCAAAGCTGGTGAGGGAGTAAGCCCCTTTGTTTTATTTGGTAGGGCAACATTTTAAGCAAAGGAAATGACATGTGCAGTGGCCTGGGGTAACTAGTCCTGAAAGAAAGGGATCTGTGTAACTGAAGCCAGAAAGGGGAGAGTACTACCTAGCATCCTGGTGAAGTCAGGATTGGCCCAGATTGTGCAGAGCCCTGGAAGGTCTACAGTAGGATTGGGTCTGTTGGGTGCTTTGGAGGATTGGCAGGTTCCAACTTGATTTTGACAAGATCAAGTTGACAGCTATGTGGGAACTAGAAGGACCAAGAGTAGCTATTTTCAGAGTGAGAGCTATAGAAACTTTTAATCATCAATCACAAGCAAAGGATTCAGTTTTCACTGAGACTAAGTCAAAATGGTAGTCCTCTCTTTTCAGGTATATATTTAATGATGGGGTGGATGTGGGGATTTGAATAGGAATGGCCCCTGTGGACTTATGTGTTTGAATATTTGGCCCATAGGGTGGCACTACTAGAAGGTGTGGCCTTGTTGGAGTAGGAAGTATGTCACTGTGGAGGTGGGCTTTGAGGTTTCCTATGCTCAGGCTACACCCAGTATGGGACGCAGTTGCTTCTGCTGCCTGTGAATCAAGACATAGAACTCTCAGCTCCCTCTCCAGCACCATGTCTGCCTGCATGCCACCGTGAAGATGGTGGACTAAACCTCTGAAACTTAAGCCAGCTCCAATTAAACATTTTCCTTTATAAGAGTTGTTGTGGTCATGATGTCTCTTTACAATAGAAACCCTAACTAAGACAGTAGATATAGCTAAAATTACTCAATAGCTGTTTTTTTTTTTTTTTGTGTGTGTGTGTTAAGATAGGTACTTGTAATCAATGATTATGCTACTTCAACTTCATTTTGGATATTAGAAATTTTTTTTTTTTTTTTTTTGGTTTTTCGAGATAGGGTTTCTCTGTGTAGCTTTGCACCTTTCCTGGATCTCACTCTGTAGACCAGGCTGGCCTTGAACTCACAGAGATCCACCTGCCTCTGCCTCCCCAAGTGCTGGGATTAAAGGCGTGTGCCACCACCACCCAGCTTAGAAATGTTTAAATAAAACAAGTTAGGAACCACAGATCACTGTTCTGAATGTTTTCAAGAAGTACTCTTCATCTCTAAATTATTTTAATCTTAAAAATTTGACAGAATATTTACATAAAAATAACTCAGGAGGCCGAGGCAAGAGGATATTGGGTTCAAGGATGGCCTAGGCTATATAGTGAGACCCCCATCTCAAAAACAAACAAACAAACAAACAAACAAACAAAAAAAACCACACAAACAAAAACCCCTCATAAACTTGAAAAATAAAATTGAATGGAATATGAAGCAAAAACAGTAAGTATGAACAATGAGATATAAAGAAGTTATTTTGCAAACAAAACTAATGGAATTTTCAAATTATACTGGGTTTAGTAACTGATCATAAAAAGATGTAAATTTAACATGGAAGTTTGCTAAATCCAGGAAATTAGATCGTCTAGTTAATGATGAGAAGTAACTAAAGGCATTGTTAATTCACACCACGACATCAACAGTACCGAGGGTAGTACTCCCACAGTAAGACATTGACGGAACTGGGATAACGAGCCTGTCAGTTCAAGAAGTCAGCTCCATCACACCAAACAGAAAACCCTGCAATACTCCAAAGTCCTACAGCTCCGTAGAAAAGGTGCTCAAGAGCCCTGAGAACTCAGAAAGAGTCCTCAAAGAGTATGGACATTACCAACAAGTTTCGACACTGAAATGACGTTCACTACACGGTCAGTATTAAAAACCAAAGCACAGCTGGTGGAAAGACCTAACTGCCTTCTCATTCCTGATGGAGAAAATAAAGAGGTGGTCATAGAACGTCCACCCCAGGTTGGTAGGAAAACACTGTGTAAAAGCTTCTCAGACAACCAGTGCAGGTGCTGTATTTTCTTTCTGGATTTTGTGACTTGTTCCAAGTCTTGTTGTCTTTTTAAATTGCAGGTTTGCAGTTCTTGTTCTCTGTCTCTATTTGTCTCATTATAGCCCAGGCTCAGTGATGACCTTAAATTGCTGACAAGCCTGTTTCCACCTAAGTGCAGGGGTTACAGTTGTGTGTGAGTATATGTGTGTGTGAGAGAGAGACATCACACCTGGTTTTATAAAGTTCTGGGTATTGAATGTGGGGCATTGTGCATGTTGGGCAAGTACTCTGCTGATAAGATATCATCCCAGCCTTCTTATCCCAAATACATACTTATTTTGTGTCTCATTTGTGTGACTATATAAGACTATAGACTCTGTGATTACGTATCCTGGAACAAACACCTGGGATCACCTGACGGGTGGGTCAGTTTGTGTTCATATGATAAGGACATGCAAATTTACAGTTCAGGGTTAAGGTCTATGCTGGGGAAATGAATTAGAGAGCTGTGTGATTGAATCTACATGGTATTTAAGGCCATAAAACTCAGGGCCACCTCATGACATTCATGGGCCCTAGGCACTTTTGTCTTCATGATTTCTTTTCTCCATTAAAAATAAAAATATACAGATGAATATAATCTAGCCTGGGTTCATTATTATGACACTCATTTTTTTAAATTCTAATTTTGAAAGAAGTCAAAGCATATTCATGGATCTCTGAAATTATTGTGGTCCCTAGAAATTACTCCCTCTGTGATTGACAGATAAATCAGCTGACAGGTGAGATGGAATCTCCAGGGGAACGATGTGTTCAAAGAGATGAAAAAGTCAGGGAAGGGGCCCTGAGTCACCTCAACATGTAAAGATGATGAAGAGTTGAGGGATCACGTCAAGGTTTTATCCCCTGAGATAACAAAACACTCACTGTTCATGGGTCATACAAATAAGGAGCCACCAGAACGTTTGAAGCCCACCAAATCCCACAGTGACAGTGTTCCTGTAAGGAGTTACATCTGTAATTGCTTCTACACGGAAGGTCTACAGCCCCTAATCACTTCCGGTGTCCAGAGTACACCAGAGCCTGTGCGCCATGGCCTTATACACAACTTAAAAAAATAAAATTATGTGCATGCATGTCTGTGTGGTTATGTGCCTGTGAGTGCAGATATCCGCATAAATGATCAGAAAAGGCACTGGATATTCTGGATTGAGCAGGCTCAATGTGGCTGCTGGGAACTGAACTCAGGTCTTTTGCAAGAGAAGTATGAGCTCCCAACCACTGAGCCATCTCTCCAGCCCCTCTCTTTTTTCTTTCTTTTAAAGATTTTTATTTTCCTTATACCCAACTTAGATATGCTGTTTACTATTTTTGGAAGAATTTGCCTGACAAATAAGCAAAGAAATAGAAGGCACCACCAGCGAGAGAGGAGACAAGGCAGATGAAAACGGTATCCTGAACACAAATGCGGAGGGTGGTGAGGAGTGGCGTCTACCACCACACTCCAGGTAAGTGACAGGAGCTGCCAGCTGGAAAGAGCTGTGTGGGCTGTCAACAGGGAAGTCCCCACGGACCTAGTCAAGGAAGATGGAGTGACAGAGTAAAAAAATCTAGACCGAGAACCCAAGGGAGGAACACAGCTCTTGTGAGGAGATGGTTTTGAAAGGAGAGAAGTGGGATGACTGACAAGAAGAATCAAATTCCAGGGACTTCTCATTTTTAAGATCAGAGACATTACTTGCTGCTGGGAAGGTCCCCATAAAGAGGGATATAAGGAAGAGTGTGTGTGGGGGGAGGGGGAGGGAGGGACACCGACGAGGGAGGGGGAGGGTGGTAGGGAGAGCAGGGAGGGGAATGGAGGAGGATTGCCCTTGCAGCACCCACAAAGTCCTTGGCGATAATGGAGGAGACGAAGTGTACAGGCAGGTGGGTTCTGGGAAGGTGTGGGAGTTCTGTGTTATTGCTTCCTTGTTCTTTCTGAAAGCCATTTAAGAAACTTAGAGGAGATAAAACATAACTGATGGGCAGCATTGAAAGTCCAGCATTGAGGCAAGGGACCAGTCAGCAAGGGCAAGCTTATGGAGCTCAGGAAGCTTAAGCTCAGGGCTCTCTACTTGTTTGCATGGGCCTTTCCAAGGGTCTGGTTGAGAAAGTCCTGGTGATTCCATGTCTGGAATTGTGTTCATCGTTATTTGTTAAAGAGGAGGAAAGCTTCATCCCTGAGTGTTTCCCTGGTGGTCAGCACAGCTGCACAAGCTTTCTAGCTGTGGCTGCTGTGGGAATGCAGCTGTGGCATTGGTGAAGTGTTGGATTGTAACTATGCTGTGGCTTTGTCAGGTGAGACAGGTGCATCCAGCCAAAATCCCAGGATGAGTGTGGGAAGAACTGATTTTAACAGTGAGAGAATTTCAGCTGGGTGGAGAGAAGGATGAAGACAAGACATGAGGATGTAGAAGGGTCCTTTTTGATAGTAAAAGGTGATGGAATTAGTATGTTGTGGGCTTAGAGATGAATTGTTGGGGTGCCAAAGAGTGGACTAAAAAAAGAAGACAGAAAAAAAATGAGCAAAACCAAGCCACAGTCGTTGGTAATCATGAGGTTCAGAACCTTGACCATGGCAACGAATGGCCGAGGAGGAATGGAGGCTGAGAGACAGAATATATGTATAATAGCCAGACTATGAGTGATGATAGAACTCTGCCCCCCAATCTCTGTAAGAAACCATGACCTATGTAGCCATGGGTCCACAACAGTCAGAACCTGATCAGCAATCCTCAGTTTCTCTAGTCAATGTCCCACTTACAACTGGGGACTGATAAGAAGTTAAACGCATCCTCCAAATCTATCTCACAAGATCCTTACTTGCATAGGCTGCCTCCAGCTTCCTCATGCCAGTAACCTCCCATCAGGGTGGACCTGAGGACCTGCAGCCCCCGCTTTCTTCTCTATGAAGTTATCTTCCTTGGAGTTTCAGTGGAGATTTATTTGCTGATTCCATTGCTGATTCCCTTGATACTCTAGGCCAAGAAAAAAAAAATCCACCTAGTCAAAAACAGAGAAGCCATTATTTATTAGGATTGCAGTTGGGGAAAATATGTATTTAAACAGCACCCCATGGTTTTACTAAATAATGACTATGTAGATAGCTTATGTATGGTATAGACTATGTATATAGTGGGGCCTATAGAGGGCTTTCTTGGGGCTTATGATTGGCCCCTGTGACAGTTAAGCTGTCTTATGAGATGAGGATGGGGTGTGTCCAAGTCTGTAGATGGTTTGGGAGAAGAAATTCATTGTATAGAAGGTCAGCAGAAGTTAACGCATCATATTTTCAGAAATTTGCATTTTGTTTTAGTATGAAAGCCAGCTTGCACAGGACAGGTGGTCTAGTTCAGAGATCTGGCTTAGGCTGCATTTGAGTTCAGAGTGGCAGTGTCTCCTGCTTGCATTTTAAGAACGCCAAACCAAAGCCACTCCATCTTGGTGATTTACTTCTTGACAGAATATAATGGTTCCTTCAATAGTTTCCATGAAAACAAGTTCACTGGGGATGAAGAAGTCCTGAAAAGAGAGGTCTGGGCATTGAAAGATCAAATATGTGGATGCTGAAATAACTCAGGACTATGAAGGAGAGCTCAAAAAACACTGACGGGACTCCAAACTCTAATGAAAGAAGCAGGCCCCATGCAGTGTAAGGGCTCATCAGTGTGCAGGGCTAACAGTGGATGGTGACTGACACAGGCATGGGAGACATAGCTGTAGGTCTCAGGGGAGTGAGAGGAGCAAGCCTGGAAGGCAATACTGAGAAACAGGAAGGATCAGCTCCCTGAAGCTCTTCAGACAGGAGTGGGTGTGGGGGTGAGGAACCACCCTGTGAGAGGGCTGAGGGGAAGCAGTAGCCTCAGGAAAGATCGAGGTTTTGGCTAGAGTCAGTAGGTAGAGGTGGCCTGCAGAGAAAGCTCTAGGGCTTAGGGGATACTGTAACATAGAACTTGAGATCTGGCGGCTTTACAAATTGCAAAAGGTTATTATAAGATGGATCACATTAATATATCCTGGGTTACCTTTTGTTTTGCTGTTTGCTGGGTTTTGTTTTGTTTATGCAGGAACCCAAGGCCTTGGAGCCATCTCAGCCATAAAAGCTTCCTAATTAACTATTTTAGTACTTTTAATCCATACCAACCCAGGATCAAGTTGGAATACTGGTAACCAAACACAGTTAATGAGAAGAAAGTAGTTATTTTATTTGTAATTGTTCACCACTTGTGGGATCATGCAGTCTTACCTAGACCTCCCCTTGTGGTGGCAGCCTGCAGTGATTCCCTGGGAAGTGAGACAGTTCTGGTTTGCTCTAGATACACAGTTCTGTTGCAACTTCTGGAAGATTACATATTCTGATTCTCATAATGGTGTAGACCCCTCAAGGCCACACTCATAAAGTGGCAGATTAAAGGTACCTTAAAGCCATTTTCATGTAATTCCCCACCTGATACACGAAGCCCTTCATAAAATGCCACTCCACTTCAGAGCAACATGGCATTTGCACCCCAGAGGCAGCCCATTCCATTTTGGTCCTTTTCAATGAATAAAATGTTCAGGCTCGTTGAACCGAAATCCCCACAGCTTCTTTAGCGGCATGCCCGCCAAGATTCTGTCATCAGTCTGAAAAGATCAGGGGCTGCCTGTTATGTGCCCTAGGACAGCTCTCTGATGACTTGGAATTCAAAGTCTCTCACTTGGAAACAGTTGATTCCACCATGATCCAATCTTACTGATCAGTTTTCTTTTCTATATGGATTATATACAAATAGGTTTTTATTACATTACTCATTAATGAATTCTTTTACCCAATTCAACAAACATTAGCAAAACCATGTAATACCTACCACATGTCAGGGACAGAGGATACATGGACTGGAAGAAGAAAGAGCCTAAGAAACAGGCTGTAATTCTTAAAGGAGTCAAGCACTGAGCTGCAGGACTTCACAGAGTGCATTGGAAGGTCATGGCTAAGCCACTTAGTCTCATTTGAATTGTAATACTGGAAATCAAGTAGATGATTTGCATGTCCAGTCTTGTCTGTGTGGTGCATGTGTGTGAGTGTGCTGGTACAGTCACGTGGGCATGTGCCCAGGGGAGCTGGGGTAGGACATGGGGTGTCCTCCTTTATCATTCTTTGCCTTATTGTCTTGAGGCAGGGTCTCGCACTGAACTAGAAGCTCACTGTTTCGGCTATGCTCGTGGGCCTATGAGCTCTTGGGATCCACTTCTCCCTGTTCCCGTGGGCCTGTGAGCTCTCGGGATCCACTTCTCCCTGTTCCCGTGGGCCTGTGAGCTCTCGGGATTCACTTCTCTCTGTTCCCGTGGGCCTGTGAGCTCTTGGGATCCACTTCTCCCTGTTCCCGTGGGCCTGTGAGCTCTTGGGATCCACTTCTCCCTGTTCCCATGGGCCTGTGAGATCTTGGGATCCATTTCTCTCTGCTCCCGTTGTCAGGTTTACAGACACACATAGCTATGCTTGCTGTGTGTGTGTGTGTGTGTGTGTGTGTGTGTGTGTGTGTGTGTGTGAATTCGAATTCAGGGTCTCACGCTGGCAGACAATCCTGGTATTCACTGAGCCATCTCCCTACCCCTAAATGGATGGTATTTTAGCACCCGTAAAACTTGAATGGAAACTTCATTCACCTTGGATAAACTTAACTAGGTCCACCGTTTCATCAGTCCTCATTTAGGCTGGTGGAGTATCTGGTAGGTTTTTCACAATGAATAAACCTAGGATTGGGCAGTCTTGAAGGGGGAAAGTGACTAAAAAGGATGGGGAGGTTGAGGGGTGTGGGCCTTGGACCTGTAAACTTTCTGCTGCTATCAAAAGCCAAATTCAACACTTTTTTTTTCTCCAAATGGGAGAAGTCACTCTCTTACTTCTCAGAGTGTAAGGGTCTTGGCCTCTGCTGCTGAAACAAAAACCGGTTTTATCGGTCGATTGTGCTAGTTCACTTTTCTTTTTTTTGGGGGGGGGGCTCATTTTGACACAAGCTAAGGTTATCCAGAATGAGGGAACTTCAGGTAAGAGAATGCTTCCTTCAGATTGTTCTGCAGGGCATTTCTTTAGTAATGATTGATGTGAGAGGGCCCAGCCCACTGGACAGTGCCACCCTGGGCAGGTGGTCCCCGGTTCTATAAGAAAGTCAACCAATCAAGCCATGGGGAGCAAAGCCTGTAAGCAGCACTCCTCCATGGCCTCTGCACCAGCTCCTGCCTCCAGGTTCCTGCCCTGATTGAATTCCTGCCTTGCTTTGCCTCAGTGATAGGCTGGGGTTGAGATGTATAAATCAAATAAACCCTTTCTTCCTCAGAATGTTTTGGTCATGGTGTTTTATCCCAGAAATAAAACACTAAGACACCAATAAAAGAGCAAGGCCAGATATATTAAACACAAATACTTCAATACTATTGTATCCCGGAGTCGTATCAATTTGTATATTTGGGGTGTTGGTGCACAGACCCAGCAGGCCCAACGGAAGATTGAAGCAATCAGGAGGCAGGTGCTTTCTTAGGACACTCTTACAGATTTCAAGATGAAAGTGATTACTAAATCTACTTCCCAGATGTCAAATCACATATGTGAAGAACCTCATTTCTCTGATAGCATTCATCGCCTCAAGCTATATTCATAATTTTTACATTTTCTTTAGCTTAATGAAATCTGCTCTGATAAAAAGATCTCCATAATTATATTCCAAATTATATACATCTGGGGGAAAGGGCAGCCAGGGAACATCAGGCAGATTTGCTGACTGGATCCTAGTAGCTGTGCTTAAGGATATTTGAGGGGGTGGATTGGCGGGCCTTGGATACTCCATGCCAACCTCTTTCCTCACTTCCGTGTCATCTCTAAGTCAGAAAGAGGGCATATGGATTACTCTATGTGTGAATCATTTCTAAACTAAGTGGTTTAAAACAATTGATGGCTGATGGTTCACATAGTCTGCTTGGATAAGAAATTTGGGAGTGGTTTACTAGGGTGGTTATGACATCAGATGGGCCTGTGTTCATCAGAAGACTTGTCTAGGGTTGGAGGAGTATATTTGTGTGCACATGTGCATGCACATGTGTGTGCATGTGTGTATTGTGATGTGTGTGTGGTGTGGGTATGTAAGCGCATGTGGAAGGGTATGTGATTGGTGGGGGGAATATTGAGTGGGAGTTTCTGGAGGTATATAGGTAGGGGTGTGTGTGTGTGTGTGTGTGTGTGTGTGTGTGTGTGTGTGTGCCACAGCATGCATTTGTAGGTCAGAGGACAACTTCAGGTGTTGGTCGACACCTTCCACCCTGTTATGACACAGTCTTTTGTTGTTCATGTGGCAAATCCCAGGGTAACTGGCTGAGAACTTCTGGGGATTCTCCTGTCCCTACCTCCCATCTCCCACTGGATTTAGAGCACTGGGGTTAGGGCACTGGGGTTAGGGCACTGAGGTTGGAGTACTGGGGTTAGGGCACTGGGGTTAGAGCATGGGGGTTAGGACACTGTGGTTGGAGCACTGGGGTTGGAGCACTGGGGTTAGGGCACTGGGGTTAGAGCATGGGGGTTAGGACACTGGGGTTGGAGCATTGGGGTTAGGGCACTAGGGTTAGGGTACTGGGGTTGGAGCATGGGGGTTAGGACACTGGGGTTGGAGCACTGGGGTTGGAGCACTGGGGCTAGGTCACTGGGGTTGGAGCACTAGGGTTGGAGCACTGGGGTTGGAGCACTGGGGTTAGGGCACTAGAGTTGGAGCACTGGGGTTGGAGCACTGGGGCTGGAGCACTGGGGTTAAGGCACTGGGGTTAGGGCACTGGGGTTGGAGCACTGGGGCTGGAGCACTAGGATTGAAGAACTCGGGTTGGAGTCATGCTCCACCTCATCCAGATCTCTGGGGTTCTAGTGATTCAAACCCAGGTCATCACACTTGCACAGCAAGCATTTTACCCAGGGAGCATCTCCACAACCCTAAGGACCTTTCTTTAAAGTCACAAATCACAGAGATGGCAGGTCTGAGGTGACAGGTCTGTGACGGCTGTGGACTGCTGGAGTTATGCCACAGGGATGGTTTCCTCAGAGAAAATGATTCCATAGGAGGAAAGAGAGGTTCATTTCCATGTCTTTTATGTTCCACACATCCTGTTCACTAACAGTAAGACCAAGTCTGTGTTCAAGTCCCTATTTAGACTTCAGTTTTTGATGATATCAAAGAATTCATAGAAATATTTTTAAGCCATCACATGTGGGACTAGAATTCTTCCATAACTATTCCTGAAGCCTCTGCTACCAGTAAGTGAGCTAATAACTTTAAGGCCAGTCTGAGGGGCTGGAGGGATGGCCCAGTGAATAGGAACACTTGCCACTCTTGTAGAGGACCCAGGTACAGTTCCCACTCTGACTGGCTCACAACCACGTGTAGCTCCAGTTCCAGGAGATTTGATGCTATCTTCTGGCCCCTCTGGGCACTGCACATACATGGTGCACATACAGACAAGCACACACATACATATAAACAAACACACAATAAAAATGATTTTTTTTAAGTTGAGGGGTTTAGAGTTTGTAAGGTTTTTTTTTGTTTGTTTGAATAAATACTGGTTGAAGAAGACATCCTAACTGGTACAGAGGGTGTTTGATGAAGGAGCTGGTCTAGGGAGGGTAAATGTCTTTAAAGCAGGGAAGAAGATGAATTCTTGGAAAGTGATAGACTCTCAAAGAAGAGAGAAGAGAATTGGGCTCTCAGGGAGAGTAGACCACCTGCCCTGGAGCTCCTGACCCTGGCATGTATTAACCATGTCTTCTATTTTCTATATTCTGGCCTTTCTGATCCTGGTAGGTCTTCCCTCCCACACAGGCAGTTTCTAGCGGGTAGCAAAGAGCTTATCCAGGAAAAGCTTCTCAAATGCAAAGTTGTGGGGCCTATGCTTGACTACCCACTTTATTGAGTTCGCACATTCTAGGCCATTCTCCATCACCTGCTCTGATCACCATAGGACCATAAGGCTTTGGTCCACTGTCACCCTCTTTCCCAGCAACCTTGATTCTTTTCTGTGTGACCCCCACCAGTGGTAGTGTGGCTTTCCTCTTGGGAACTGTAACTAACAAATTCTTTTTCAGTTATTCCCAGTAACTTCCTTATGCCTCCCAATTTCTACTAATAAGTTATATTTTAAGTCAAGACCACAACTCATGAAACATCCCAGTTTCAAGGGACCATGTGAATGTAGACAAAGGGCACAGAGTATTCACTCTTCAGAAAGTTCTGGATCATCCAATACCCAGATTAAAGAGGGCAGAGGGACTGGCTAGCAGAAGAAGTCATATTCAATATCATTTTAAGGAATCAAGGATAGCATGATTATAAATCAGTACCTACTTTATAAAATGTTCTTTGAAGAACCTGTGATAATCCCAAGAAGCTGTTTTGGGCGTTCATTTGTTGCTTTGGGTTTTTAAAACATCTTGCTTTGCAAAGATGAGTTTTTAAAAAATCTCCAACCCTTCCCACCTCTGTCCCTGATCTCGTGTAAGCACTGAGATGTGGGAAAGTATCAATTTTTGCACACAGAGGGGGGTGCTGCCCACCCCTGTTGTTTACCATATACCCTGAGACATATTACTTGAACAAAATTGTATAACTATTTTTGTAAATTTAATCATGAGTTAACTTCATTGAGTATTTCAAGTTCACCTTGGGACAACTCTCTGTTTTTTACTGAATGAAAATCTGTACTGTGTCTGTTAGCCGACGACAGAGGTGAAGGTGTTCCTTTGTATCCAACTTTCTGTCTCGATAAGAAGGTAATTTTCCCTTCTTAGAGCGAAGGCATCTTTCAGCACTCGTTGCCTAAACCGGGAGTCTGGAAACGCTTTTCCTCTGTAACTGTTTGTTAAATAAACATCAGTGGCATAATGTGGCAGTCAGAGGACAGCTTTTGCAAGTCAGTTCTCTCCTTCCACCATGTGGTTTGAGTGCCCTTCAGGAGGCTTGGCACCTGCCGAGCGGTCTTACCAGGTGAAGGCACCTGCTGAGCTGTCTTACCAGGCTTGTGACTCTGTTTACAATTTCTGGCAGTGTTCTCACCTCGGACTTCTGTTCTCCTGAACCATGGGAAACACATTTTTATCACTGGTAAGTCACACGGTCTTGGGCACTCTGTTAGAACAGCCCAAGTAAGATACAGGCTCACCTAACCCTTTGATCTTTATGAATAAGGCCTTCCCTTCATGAACTCAGCCTGCCCGCCCACTGCCGAAAGAGCCAGGAGTGGTTCCCTCTGGCTAGCGCCAAGAGGTGGAGAATGGAGACTGTGGATGTGGTGAGGGGTCTGCTGCTGGTGTGAGCCCTTCCTTTAGATGATCCTGCATCACAAGTGGCCTCTCTACGCTCCTGGGATTTCTTCTCTCCTGTGACACACTCCAGTTACCGACAAGCTTGTCAATAACCGATGTATTTGTAGCTTTTCTCATCACTGTAACAGGAGCAACTTAAGAGTGGATAGGTGTTGTTTGACTCATGGTTTCAGGGGTGCAGGCTATCACAGTGGGGAAGGCATGGCAGCTGGGTGGCCCCAGAGTGTGAGGTGGCAGCTGGTTTACACCATGGCTGATCAGAGAGCTAGGGCTGGACAAACAACCTGTAAGGCAGTGGTTCTCAACCTTCCTAATACAGTTCCTCATGTTGTCGGGACCCTCAACCAGAAAATTATTTTGTTGCTACTTCATAACTGTAATTTTGCTACTGTTATGAATTGTAATATGAATATCTGAGAAGCAGGGTATCTGATATGCGACCCCCAAAGGGCTTGCAACCCACAGGTTGAGAACCATTGCTTTAAGGCCTACCCTCTGTGATCCACCCCCACCAGCCTATCTCCATCACAAGAGTCTAAAACCTTCCCAAGAAGCACCAGCTGTGAGCCCAGGGTTTAAACCCCTGAGCCTGTGGGGCACCCTTTACATTCAAACCATATGACTGGGGAAGAATGTCCTTCTGATAGGATAATGGGGCTGGGTGGGGGCAGCATGTGGTTCAGGAAGGCGAGCAGGTGGGCTTCTTTTGGTGTCACCTGGAGGAAAAACTGTGCAAGGTATGCCTGGAACCCAGAGAAAGAAAAACAGTGCATGCAAAGGGAGCCAGACCGAGATCTGGGTGGGAAGTAATGTGGCTGTGGCTGTGGCTGTGGCCCGGAGGACTGGCAGCTTGCTAGGCCCTGGGAGTTTCCTTTGCTTCTTAGAAACATCTTATCTCACACCTTAGGCACTGGGCTCCAAAAAGCCCACTCATGCACCAGGTGCGGATTCCAATCCCCCTGCCTGAGGGTCCCCAAACAGCTGAAGCCAAACAACTGTCTCGAGTATTCAGAGGGCCTAGTCCAGTCCCATGGGGGCTCCATAGCCTTGGTGCAGGGGGGAGGGGCTTGGATCTGCCTCAAATGAATGAATGTATGTACCAGACTCTGCTGACTCACCATGGGAGACCTTGACTTGGAGGAGGTGGGAATGGGGCTGGGTTGGGAGGAAAGCTGAAGGGCAGGAAGAGGGAGGAGGGGGATCTGTGGTTGGTATGTAAAATGAATAGAAAATTTCTTAATAATAAAAATTTAAAAAAGAAACATCTTATCTCCTCCCATTTCCTTGCAATGCTCATCTTTGATAGCTGTGCTAAAGAACTAAGCATTTAAGCCCAGAGTCACATGTGCAGACTCACAATGTGGGCACATCTCTGCCCATGCCTATCGCACACACACAGACACTACACATAAGCACAGAGGCACATAGATATACCCACAAACATAACAGAAACACAGAAAGTGAAGAGATAGAAACATACAGAGAGACACACAAAGACATAGACATGCAGAAATATATATACACAAAGATAGGAACACACACACACAGAGAACCTACATAGACACATAAGCACAGACACACAAATACCCACTCAGGTACACACTCAAACATGCACAAATACCCATATATATGCATAAACACATATGTAGATGTAACCGACCGTCTTATTAAATAAGAAACACAGAACCAATGCAAAGAAAGCCAAGAGATCAGAGCTAAGAGCCTTACCCACCTGCTGCAGCTAGCCTCTTCAGCCAAGAGACCTCTCCAAAAGGGACCTACTTTCTGTCTGTTTGTCTTTATATAGACTTTCTGTTCTGCCTTCTCATTGGTTGTAAACCCAACCACGTGACTGCCTCGTCACTGCCTGTCTGTACAGACCTCCAGACACACATTGGAGCGTGTGGCTCCAATGCTGGCTGTATCCTTGACCACACAGAGATCTACCTAGCTCTGCCTACCAAGTGCTGGGATTAAAGGTGTGCACCACGAACACCCAGCTCTGCTATGGCTTGCTATTAGCTCTGACCCCTGGGCAACTTTATTTATTAACATACAATTTAAATCACATTTCAGTACGAATAAAATACCACCATACACATAAGCATGCACAAGTACACACACTACACAGTCACAGAGACACACACACAAATGCACAGATGCACATGTACACACACACAAATGCACATGAACACACACACACACACACACACACACACACACACACACACACACACACACTCATCCTCTGTCCCAGACCCAGGCAGTGCAGTTGCAGCTTCCTTTGAGCAGGATCATGCCCTGTATCTTGCCAGATCTCTGCACTTTTTCAGGGCACGGACAGCTCTGCCTGTGTGTAACCCTCGCCTGGGAGCTGCTTGCCTTCACTGTCACCATCGGAAACAGTTCCTACTCCTCAGATGGTGCGGTGTCTGGGAAACTGTAACTTCAGAAGACATGTTTATGATATCAGGAAGGAAGTCACATAGCTCTGCTGTCATGAACCGGGTTAACTTGGAAACTAATAGCATGGGCTGTGAGTCCTTAGAGATTGCTTCTCGCTAGGGGACCAAGATGGGCAGGACACTGCTGTTCTTAGAAAAACTTATTCTGTACTTAGGGGGTCCAAATGTGTATGTGTGTTTTCCTCAGGTTTTTTTTTTTTTTTTTAGAACTAAAAGTCCCTTAAGAAATTTTGATATCGAGGCAGGAAGAGAATCAGCGGCATTAAGAATGTGGAGTTACTGTCACTTCCATGTTACAAAGGCATGGGGAGATGACGTCACTGGCCCAACCACCAGAGGCTGAGATTCGAACCCAGGCCTCCTTGACCCACTTGGCTTCCCCTCCCTGACTAGTTCCCCAGCTAAGGCTTTCCTGAGCTCCATGTGGGGTGCTTCTCTCAGTCCACACCAGGTCTCCGCCATGGTCATCCCCCCATTCTCCCCTCTCCTGACATGAACCCCGCTTACCCAATGCACCTCACTTTGTCTCCTAGACTGAGGTTCCCCGGTTCTCTACTTTCCTCCTGTTCTTTGAACGTAAGTGCTTGCATTGTTTGTTTTAACGACGGCGCTGCAGGTTCTTACAGAGAAGAAAGTGTGACCAGGTAGGAGCCCTGCAGTCTGTGCAGTGTGGTCTTGGATCTGGAGTCCATGACCCCCTTGTGGGATGGCAAAGGAGAGCCCAGGTCACCATCACTCCTCTATATTTCAGAAAGTGGAGGTCACCACTGCTGCTCTCCTTCCCTCTGTCCCCAGGCTGCTTCTCTCTATTGGGAAGCCTTCCCTTAGCCAGATCCTTCAGCCTTGCCTGAATTGGCTTTTTTTTTTTTTTTTTCCTCTATCAGGGAACTTGTATTTCTTTAGAAAGGTTAATTTCTTAGCTGTTGCTGTTCCCACCTTGCCTGCTGGGGGCACCATCTCATCAGGTCTTGGCTCCAATCTTTCCAGGCATCCCAGACCCTGGCTAGATGGCAGGGCAGATGCCCTTGGTAGATTAGGCCATGGGTCTTGGCATCTAGGACATACAGACTGAAGAAGCAGACCCCGCCCCAACAGATCCCATGTTTTCTCCAAACTCAAAGCATTTGGTTTCTTCTTGTTCAAGAAGATCTCATAAGGGAATTGGAGTCAGGAACAAAGAGATGGCCTGTGTGGAATTATTCCCCCCTTTCTTGTTCTCTCTCCTTCATTCCCTAAATGGAGAGGTGATAAAATTAATATGGAACTGAGTAGCTGTTTGTCTCACTATGTGATTCTTAGGGAAAGCAGAGATGATGTGTCTTGGAAATGGTCTGGGACAGGCCATCCTGGAGGAGCAGGAGGAAGGGTCAGCATCCTCCAGGGGCAAGAGAAGCTGGTTATTCATTACCACCAAGACTTGACAGTACACTGAACACCGACATTATATTTATGCTACATAAAATAATGTGACACAGTTTTTATGACCCAATTTAATCCAGTAGAGGGTATCGGTTTAGTAAAGACAAGGACAATAGAATTAAAATTATCCATAGATCTACATAACAAAAGGGTAATAAAAAGAGAATTGAACTAATTTGACAGGAAATAGATAGCATTGCCATAAAATTTGTAAAATGGAGAGAAAGTGTCTCACTGTGAATTTATATGAGTTAAGTTGACAGGTACTGAGATCTGTAAAAGGGAAAAAAATGCAAACCCACCACGAATTGTTCTCTGAATTCCCAGACCAAGCCCAGCTTCCTTCCATTTATTCATTCCACTGACAGCAGGACAGGATCTGTGCTGTGAAAAACTTCAACGTTTTAATAGCTACCCAACAAACAAGCAAACTTTTCTGTGGTTGCGTGAAATGTTTTCAATGTTCAGTTTCACTCGGTGCTGTACCTTGCTTACCTTCTTCTGCGTATCCATGGCAACAGACTGGAAATGGCTGATAGAAGTACTGAAATGTCAGCACGGGGCTGGAGAGAGAGCTCAGTGCTTAAAAATGCTTGCTGCTCTTGCAGAGGACTTGAGTTCAATTCCAGCACCCACATCAGGCAGCTCACAACTGCTTGTGACCCCGGCTACAGGCGATTCGGTACTCTTTGGGCACATACACTTACCCATAAATAAAAAACTTAAAAATTCTTTTTAAAAAGCTGGGGGGAGGGGCAGGAGTGTGTGTGATTTCAGTGGTAGCTGCTCCTGGGCCTGGGCTGAACAAGGGTCTCAGAGCGATGCATTGCTTCATCCAGGAAAGGAAAATGATGCTGGGTGAAGCTTCCCTGAGAGTCCCCACCCTAAAGCAATGTTGGTGGGGATGGAGAAGTCTATGACCTAATCACTGTCTTCCAAAAGCTCCCAGCATCAGGGAGTGTGAAGTGTTCTGATGAGCTTGTGTTGTTTTGGGGGGGTTAAGTTGGAGATCAACGCGAATACATTTTATTCAGTTTCCCTTTGGGTTTCTCATGCTCTTGGTCCTCATACCAAGTTCATGGTGGTGTCCTCCTTCAGGTTTCTTTTCCTCCATCTATCAGTCAGCTCCTTTGAACTACCTACCTTTCATATTAACCAGAGACCAACCCTGGCTCGATTCGACTAGTAACTTCCACTACCCTTCACAGGAGTACAGGGATAGAGTGTGGACTTCGACTTCCCAACTGACTTCAGATCATCAACAAATCTGAGTCTCTTTGGTCTCTACACACACACCTGCCCAATGGCAAACAGCCAGTAGTTTAAGCTCCAGCATATCTTAGTCTAATAGTAAGTACGGAATGAGATGTGGAAGCCAAGAGACAGTTTATCCTAGTTTGCTTTCTGTTGCTGGGGCAAAACACTGACCAAAAGCAACTTGAGGTGGAGACGGTTTGATTGGCTTATAGGTTATTTGTCAGTCATCAAAGGAAGCCGGGGCCGGAGCTCAAGACTGGAACCTGAAGGCAGGAACTAAAGCAGAGACCACGGAGGAGTGCAGCTCACTGGCTTGCTCCCAGGCTCACATTCATCCACTTTTCTTCTACAGCCCAGGCACACCTGCCCAGAGATGGCACGGCCCACAGTGAGCTGGCCTCCTACATCAACTAGCAATCAAGAAAATGCCCCCCAGACGTGTTCACAGGCCATTCTGATGGAGGCAATTCCTCAAATGAGGCTTTCTCTTCCCAGGTATGGCTAGTGTCAAGTTCAAAACTAACCATCATGATGGCCCTTTCAGGAATACAAGATAGAATGACTTTCCCTATGTGCCAGGCCATGGGACTCCTTCAGGGCAGTGGAGTTGGGAGCTGGCACTGTGATATCTACCCATTCCACACGTGAAGACACAGAGGCTCCCATCTAGAAGGTAGGTTATGTGTCCACGTCGATGCAACTAAGCAGGGCTCCTGGCTGCCTCCCTGCCTGGGGATGATGAGTTTTCACTGGCCTTTCCCTCACGGACTTCCTGTGACTCTTTCTCAACCTGGACAGGGCTTCCTCTCTGCCCTAACTCTCTAAGGAAATGTTCTCTAACCTTAGGCCTTGCCCTCCCCCAAGTTATTCCTTTACACCCATTCTAGAAAAAAGAAAGGAGACAAATCAGAGAAAGGAGACAAGATTGAAGCGAGGAAACCTGGAGGGCGGTGATCGTGTCTTGGTGATTGCTTACAACAAACATTAAATAAATGAACTGA